TTGCTGCTGCGGTGGAGCAGCAGCCGTCGACCACCAGCAGCAGCAGCTGCTGCTGCTGCTGCTGCTGCTGCAGTGGCTGCGGAAGCAGCAGCAGCAGGGGACATGCTGCTGCTCTCGGTCCCCGACAGCTACTCCACCTTAGCAGCAAAAACCCTCACCGTGCTGCAGTGGCAAGCAGCAGCATGTCCTGCTGCTTCCTTCTTGATAAAGGTGGACGGGGACGTGCTGCTGCAGCAGCGGCGGCAGCTGCTGCTGCTGCTGCAGCAGCAGCAGCAGCAGCAGGCCCTCGTGCTCGGGGACCTCAAAGAGGGGCCCTTCGGGGGCCTCGCTCAGCGCAGCAAAACAAATAAAAGTCATCAGCCTTCAGATATATATCCTTACATGTACTACCCAAGTTATGTGCTGGGGGGGATGTACATTTTGTCTGCTGCTGCTGCTGCTGCTGCTGCTGCTGCTGCAGCACAACTCCCAGAAGTCTTCAATGAAGACACGCTCGTGGGCCTCGCTCTCCGCCTCTTCGGCGTTGCGCCGCAGCAGCTGCCGCTGCCGCTGCAGTTTTTTAGCAGGCCCAACCCGCTTGAGCTGCAGCAGCCTGCTGCTGCTGCTGCTACTGCAGCAGCAGCAGCAGCAGAGCCGGGCGAAGACCCTGACGAGCACCGCCACTTTTGCTACCTCGCCAGATTTGCTGCTGTTCATTCTGTGTCTCTTTTTACTCTCAAGAGATACTACAAATGGAGGCAGCAGGGGGGACACACGCGCTGCAGCAGCTGCGGCAGCAGCAGCAGCAGCGGCTACAGCAGCTGCTGCTGCTGCACGAGCAGCGCCTGCAGCTACAACAGCACTGGCAACTGCAGCAGCAGCAGCAATTGCTGCCCGTAGGCCTCCTGTGAACCCGCATCGCAGCGACGCGGCAGCAGCAGCAGCAGCTGCTGCTGCTGCTGCCCAGCGGCAGATCCGCTTGCAGCGGCGCCAGCTGCTGCTGCTGCTGCTGCTGCTGCTGCTGCTGCCGCAGTGAACTTGCCGGCAGCAAAGGCGGCAGACGCGCTGCAGCCGCTGCGCAGCAGTGCTTGACTGTGAGCTCCTGCTGCTGCTGCAGCAACAGCAGCTCGTGCTGCTGTAACTCCACAAGCAGCAGCAGCAGCAGCCAGAGCAGCACCTGCTGCTGCTTTTTCCGCTTCATTCGACGCCAGTTTGAACTCAAAGTTTGCCAAAGAGGTTTCAGCTAAAAAAGAAGTTGCAAAGACAGCAGCAGGAACTGCTGCTGCAGCAGCAGCACGAACAGAAACAGCAGCAGACACTGCAGCAGCACTTGCTGCTGCTGCCTTGACACACAGAGCAACAACAAAAAGAAATAAACAGAAGCTACAGCTGCAACTGCTGCAACTGCTGCAGCTGCTGCAGCTGCTGCAGCTGTTGCTGCAGTGACTGCTGTACCGATGCAGCTGCTAAGGTCCGTGCCAGTTCTGCTGCTGCTGCTGCTGCTGCTGCTGCGGCTGGTGTGTCCGGTGCGCCATCAGCTGCAGTTGTATGTGCAGTGGGTCGCTGCCTCTTGCCCCGCAGCCTCCCTCTCAGCGTTGTCCTTCCGCTGCTGCTGCTGCTGCAGCTGCTGCTGCTGCAGCTGCTGCTGCTGCAGCTGCAGCAGCTGCTGCTGCAGCTGTTGCTGCTGCTGCTGCAGCTGCTGCATTCGCTGCTTTGCTGCTGCAATCCTGGCTAGCAGGGGCATTGTGTCTACGCCCAGCCACAGCCTGTCGCCCTCAAGAGCTTCTTGCTGCTGCCACGCTGAGGGATTATCAACAGCTTTTAGCAGCTGCAGCGGCGGCAGCTTCCAGGACCCTGCTGCTGCTGCTGCTGCTGCTGCCTGTCCGTGCTCCTGCTGCCGCTGCAAGAACGAGCTCAACTGCGACTCGCAGCCGCGCTCAGCTGCTGCTGCTGCTGCTGCTGTTGCTGCTGCAGCTTCCTTGTTGGAGCGCTCAACAGGGACATGCCAGATCTCACGTAGCTGCTGCTGCTGTGGTTGCTGCTGCTGCTGCGGCGGTAGCTGCTGTGGCTGCTGCTCCTGAAGCTGTAGTTGTTGTGGCTGCTGCGGCTGTCGGTGCTGCTGCTGTGGCTGCTGGGGTTCCTGCTGCTGCTGCTGTGGCTGCTGGGGTTCCTGCTGCTGCTGCTGTGGCTGCTGGGGTTCCTGCTGCTGCTGCTGCTGTGGCTGCTGCTGCTGCTGCTGCTGCTGCTGCTGTGGCTGCTGCTGCTGTGGCTGCTGCTGCTGTAGCTGCTGCTGTTGTGGCTGCTGCTGTGGCTGCTGCTGCTGCTGCTGCACGCGTGCTGTCACTAGCCGCCGCTCCCCGACAAACAGCACAGGGGCTCCAGGAGGGGCAAATATATTTTGCAGCATTCTGCTGCCCCTCTGCCACTCCTGCTGCTGTTGCTGCTGCTGCTGCTGCTGCTTGGCGCGCCTCATCCAGGGCCAGTCAGCTTCACCCACCTGCTGCTGCTGTTGCTGCTCAGGAGCAGCAAAAGGAGCTGCAGCAAAGAAACCCCGTTCTCGTTGCTGCTGAAGCTCAGCAGCCTCCTTGGAATCCCCTATTCGGTGCTGCTGCTGCGGCTGTGGCTGCTGCTCCTGCTTGTGCTGCTGGACTTGCTGCTGCTGTTGCACTTGCTGCTGCTGCAGCTGCTGCTGTTGCAGCTGCTGCAGCTTCTGCAGCTGGCTTACCCCCTCGTAGACGTGGCCATCCTTGTGTAAGTGAATGTCCCTGCTCGCGTGCCTCTGCTGCTGCAGACTGCCCTGCTGCTGCTGCTGCTGCTGCAGTTTCCGCCCATGATATCGGGGTCCCTGAAGTGGTTCTTGCTGCTGCTGCTGCTCGTGCTGCAGCTGCAGATCGGTCCCAAAGAAAGCAGTGTCCGGTCTCCTCCACTTTTCTCTGCCGCTAGCCTCCGCTGCGTGTCCCACTGCATGCTGCTGCTGCTGCTGCTGCTGCCGCTGCTGCTGCTGCCGCTGCTGCTGCTGCTGCTGGAAAGCAAAAGGCAGCAAAGACAGCTGCCGCCAGTGAAGGAAAGGCAGCCGCAGCTGCGAGGCCAATCGGTGGTCTCTAAATCGGTCATTCGTCAGCAGCGGCAGCGGCAGGTACGCGTTTTGCTGCTCCTGCTGCTGCTGCTGCTGCTGCTGCAGTGGCTCTTGGTGGTGCTGCGGCTGCTGCTCGGACTGCTGCTGCTGCTGCTGCTGCTGTGGCTGCTGGCTCTGCAGCAAAAAATCCAGAAGGTATTCCTGCTCCGGCACAGCCGCTTGCAAAGCAGAACTCTGCAAGTCTTGCAGCTGACTGCGCTGCGGCTCCTGCTGCTGTTGCTGCTGCGGCTGTTGCTGCTGCGGCTGTGGCTGCTGTCGAAGCCCTTGGCTCTCCTCCTGCTGCTGCTGCTGCTTCTGCGACTGCTGCTGCTGCGGCTGCTGCTGCGGCAAGGACAGAACTTCCTGCAGCAGCTCCTGCTCTGATACGGGAGGGTCTAGCACGTGCCGCCTCAAAACAGCAACGACTGGAGGCAAAGCTAGCTGTTTCTGCTGCTGCTGCTGCGGCTGCTGCTGCTGTTGCTGCTGCTGCTGCTGCTGCTGCTGGTGCTGCTGCTGCCTTATGCGCTGCTGCAGCGGCTTCAAAACCTCATCTAGAGACGGTGGCGGCGGCAGCAGCGGCTGCTGTTGAACAATAGCGTTTTCTTCCTTGCTGCTGCTGCTGCTGCAGCAGCTGCTGCTGCTGCTGCCTATAGGGCCTGAGAGAGTCGCAAGAAGGTGGTAGTGGTCATCGTGGGCCCCTGAGCCGCAGACGAAGAGACACCGTTGCTGCTGCCACAGCTGCAGCAAAGCCCTGTCTTGGCAAGTCAGCTTTTGAGTCCTGCTGCTGCTGCTGCTGCTGCTGCTGCTGCGGTGCGTCGAGTCGCTGCTGCAGCGCTTGCTTTGGTTCGGCACCTGAACCTCATCAACGCATTTGGGGCAGAGACCCAACTCAC